TACACAGCAGCGACTGAAAGCAATATACTGGGCACAAAAGGAGAGAGGGTCACAGCCAACAGGGATCTCGAGTCGGTTTTCGGCAAAAATACCAGATTTTCACCGCTCAATATCTCAGCGTAGGAGCACCGTAGGTACAAGCGGTTTGTTTTATGCTAGTAAGATAAGACAGCTGATCAATACTAATGCAAAGAATCGTCAAAATAAAACGGGCAAAGTTTCTTGATTTGACTAATACTGCAACATGGTTTCAGCATTTCACCGTTGTACGCGCTCTCCTTCTTAATACGCTCTTGATATTACCCATCTATCATACGCAGCATGTATTTTTATTAGTATAGTCTAAACGACAGAGGCTGTTTCATTATTAATTACTTTCCTGTGACGTTTTCCATACAACTCTATCACATTATTCTTACTAGTGGAATTCCCTATTCGATAACGTAGCGCGCACTCTGATGATGCCCGCAGGCCACCAATAAATTGCATTACCACCAGCGCAAATAGTCATAGTAAAATGAATTTGTCTCTGCTCGTTTGAATGGAATTTAGTCCTTATATCTCCCTGAGTAGGGCGCTTACGGTATTCCGCTGTGTGGCCGTAAACTAAAGCCGGCTTTTCCATGCACCGAAGCTAGGCCCCGCAGTGCCAGCATTATCAGTGTAATATGGTACGATAGGAACAAGTCTCAGTTAGACAACACGTCCCTCCCTCTCCCTCCCTCCTCCTCTCTCTCTCTCTCTCTCTCTCTCTCTCTCTCTCTCTCTCTCTCTCTCTCTCTCTCTCTCACACTCTCTCTCTCCGTCTCTCCCTCTCGGCACTGTCTAACTCTCTCACCATGCAGACTCAATCTCCCTACTTTCATTATGTTGGTATATTATAAATTACTCTGTATATTTAACCTGTGGCATTTTATCACAGGCGATATTTTAGATAATGGTTCGAGCATTGATGGATTATAATCCATTAGGTTATGATCTTTGTAAACACTCCCATTAATGCAGTCATGGCTACACGCAGTCAAAAAGACAGTGATATCCCGCAGACACTTATGAGACACAATCAGCAGGACATTACCAGCGATGTAGGTAAGCTGAAACTCAAGAATAAATATTACACAAATTGCATGCCGTTGATGGCTTGCTAATTGCTAAACCACGTGCTCGGAATTCATTAGTTAGCCTCCCCGTCCACGCAGCGTGTTGCCGTATTAGTTAATGAATGACCAACACCTGTTACTGTAATAGCCAGTGTCTATGCTGGTCAGTCATCAGCGCATAGGCACTATAGTCACCAGTGTATATGTGTGTGCAGTGGGATTGAGTGTAGAGAAAGAGAGATTGAGGCGGGTAGAGATAGGGGTGGTCCAGCCATCGAGCAAGTGAATATGTATATATAAATAATATATATAATTATACAAAATTCTTCTTCTTCTTCTTCTTCTTCTCCTTATTACTATTATTATTATTATTATTATTATTATTATTATTATTATTTATGTTATTATTATTATCATTAGTATTATTCGCACAATCATCTGCTGACGGGTACGCGATTTGCTGGGCATTCCCGTTGGGTCATACGAAGCTTGACCCAGTGAAGTTCCCACGTGCATCTGCCACAATTATGTTATTAACTAGTTTGTCATCAGACATCTATGTAGTCGGATTCAGACGCGGATTCTTCCCCGTGGCATTACCCGTGTAAAAGCTCCTCTTCTACGCACGCTACGCATTTAACCACCACGAAGGGGAATACAAATAATATATGTTCCTGCTTATCTATATACTGTTCGAGTATAACCTTCAAGCAGGGGTATTATTAACTTTATTTGAAAATATTAAGAGCTGCTCTAGCTTATTCACATGTTACACTAGCGTGTGCTATAGACAGTATATCTTTGGCTTCCTAATAATTTAAAATGCTTACACTCTCGCCCACACTGTGAAGGCGAAGGATTTCTAATGACGTGGGGTTAGTAAGCTACTGCTAAATCTTAAGCTTGTAGTAAGAATCTCGAAGGCCACCAACTAACGACTAAATCCAACGTCAACATTGCACGGCTACGTTAGATACACTAGACAGTGAACGTAAGTGTACGGTATACATCATATACATTGGTTCACGATCCGAACAAGATAGCCGTGATAATCGCACGACCGCTGATGGTACACAGCGCGACGCCGATGAATTATAAACGGCCGGGATTACACTAAGGTTGGCGATAATGCGAAATACTACGACGCCTGGTGGCACTGCGCCACCGTGTCCATCACCCTCGAGGAATATTACAGCTAATCTTACCCCTACATGAGTAGATCTCACCTCCACAACGACGCGGTGTTTACCAATGAGGTCACATTGCCGAGAGAGAACCACGAACCTCTAGCGATGCGCATTACACATTGCGAGACTCAGATTGGTTGATCCTAGCTTCTTAGTACGTCCGGCATGCATAATAAGAGTACCGTAGCCTTTTTGAGGCTCTGTGCCAGTTTGCCAAATGATGTTTGAATGTATAAATTATGTCGCACCATGATATTTGCTGAGCCAAAGCTATAACACTCAGAACAACTATTGTTTCCTAACTGTCCCACTCCGTTATTCTGTAAACCTAGACTATTACCTTCATATCCCATTTTGACTACCATGCTATGCAATGTGCGAAGAGGGTATGTGATATGCACATGCACAGGCATCTGTTCAACTTATCCGGCCGTTTGTTATAACAAATGTCCATCGTGACCTAACGTGAATCACTCAGTATAAATTTTATGGGATCTCTCTAACCAAATATGCGGACATATATCCTAGCATTATAGTCGTGCTTGTGTAGCAGAGCTAAGCGCGCGCGGTTAAGAATAGTCACAGGTATATTATCAGCACGATGACATCAGTGCTGAAACCGGAGCAGTCTCGTCGTGACCGCCTTTTAGTTTCTAACTGCGTAGTAAGGGCGTGGCCCAATCACCAGCCAGCCCTTCGGCCATGTGATCCTGGTTTGATATCAAGTTCGATATAAAATCTATTCACAGCTGGGCTCAGTTTTCCTCGCCCATAGCCACAACACTATGGTCAGGAGATACGCGCCCGCACCATACCATATACGCGCCCCCCACCATGACCACATACGCGCGATGAATATAAAAACCCACCGCGTGCCGCGACACGTAGCCATTTAGTCTCAGTCAGTTAGTCGTAGCCAACGAGTCAGTTAGAGACAGTCACACGTAGTCACACGTAGTGAAGTAGAAGAACTTATATGTGCTGTGAAACATTACCTATAGTATGTATTTAGTGATTCTCTGAGTAGAATAAAGTCACCTATAGTCTGTTACAACAAATACGTGTTATCTCTACTGTGGATTTATTCGCTACTCGCCTTACGTCGCACAAGAGACACAGAGACAAGGCTGACATCTCCTTCAAGCGGAAACGCAAACACAAAACGAAACAACGGGAGAAGAACAATACACAACGCAAGACTTATAACATTACGACCTATACGATCACGTGCCTACACACAGTCGGGCATCCCCCGACGTGTCTCAGGAACCGTCTATAACACTGGTACACCCATAACACTTGTACAATACGCAGAGTCGGGCTTGAGTCTGAAGTTTGCAAAATTCTTCATTTCACAAGAACGTTGCTTGCTGATCACGCTGTATTGCACGTTTAAATATAAAATGCAAGATCGTTCGGAGTAAAGTGCACTCGAAGGACATGTCCACTCCAATATGGACATATAGTAACAATTAGGACAAATGACGCACCATGCAGACATTCTACTAGCAGCCATGTGTTTTTCCACTATTACCTATTATGCAAACCCCTATTAATCTAACAACTAAACTCAAACTAGGGCTAAAGCACCCAGTCAAAATGCCACTTTCTTTGCTACAGATGTTGTTCGCGCAGTGATTGTGTTTTTATAGCCTTTTTTTACTTTTAAGTCATTTTTAAGCCATTGCCGAGAAAATGTATGCAGGTATAGGATAAGCCATGCTGTTTTTCACTAAGGATATACCACATCGTTCAACCTTGTAAATATGCGGCGGTCCTTTACCAACATCATCAAGCATTAGTACATGAGATAATGCACAACATCTTTAGTATAGCACGAATAATCACTGTTGATCTGTATCTTATTGTCAGCACGCGCGAACACTGTTCCACAGTGAGGGACGGAACATTCCATATTGCATTTCAATAGGTTGCGGATAATATTATTAAGATAAATCTCCAATGAACCAGCACAATGACAAGTAAAATAGTTGCCGTCTTGATTGCCACTGAAAGTCATAAAAATTGCTGTCAAATGTGATGATAAAATGCCTGTTCAAGGGTTTGCTGGACATGTAATGACATTCTTTAGCTGGACAAACGTGCACTGAACGATACTGGAGTACACTTCACCTTATCTACGCAACTATAGGAAATTGTCCAGGTCCGTGAGAATTTGTTCGAGGAAGCGTTCGTCCCTCTTGACTCAATTAATCCGCTAATAAAGCCATCAGACCACTCGGTCGGTGATTCCAGTGTATAAGTATAACACTGCCTGTCATATGTGCCGCACATGAGTAGCATCAGCGTGCCCTAATCAACCCTTCGGGATGCTACGATGCACAAGATGCCTTGCCTACGAGAGATGTTCTGATACATGCCAGCCAGAGTGGCAAACAACAATCCATAATTCATATTGGGGAAGATTTACACAGGCTTCTGTACATACATACGAGAAGAAGCGAAGTGTGCTCGGTTATCGTGATCACGTTCATCCCCGCCCACGCACTTCGGTCAGAATCGATCAAAACAGCTACATTGACATGTATACGAAAGATGAGATGCTTGAAACCCTTATACTGGACTGCATAGCAGACCATGCTCGGTGAACCGGCTTTGCACCCATTCTGAACATCAACACTCTTAAGAAACACACTATATGCTGGACGACCCATAGCACACAGCCATGTAGATACGAGTAGGTTTGACTCACCCGTCCCATAAGCACTTTGTTAACAGCACATTGTGTCTTCTTACGGGTGTTTGAACTGCTAACCTTCTCATCTTTTATTAGGTCTGAAAGAAAATAGAAAATGATCCTACTTCGAATGATTTAATAAAGTAATGCAATCACTATGGAAAAGTAAATGAAAGTAACAGTGCGTGTAAAATAGTAATGAGAAAATGAGAATGAGTAAAATATAGCAAATGAACGTGAGAGGGAGAGAGACAGAGAGAGACAGACAGACAGAGAGAGAGAGATAGAGAGAGAGAGAGAGAGAGAGAGAGAGAGAGAGAGGAGAGTAGAGAGAAGAGAGAGAGAGAGAGAGGAGAGAGTGAAGAGCGAGAGAGAGAGAGAGAGAGAAGAGAGAGAGAGAGGAGAGAGAAAAAAGAGAGAGAGAGAGAGAGAGAGAGAGAGAGAGAGAGAGAGAGAGAGAGAGAGGGGAGGGGGAGAGCAAGAGAAAGAAGGGAAGCTTTCCATACAGGACGTACACAGCAATATCTTACTGGGCAAGACACTAGACAGTTTGACACCACGCAGCTTATCTTTAAAATGGGTTGAGTGGTAGAAATGTTTTTCACCAGATCATTCCGATGAGGAAGCCAGAATTTCTAATAATTTATCAAGACACTAGGGGTGAGACGATATGGGTAGCTCGCAATACGATCTGTGTTATGTTTGATGCTCACACATGTGCAAAGTCAACGCAGATATCTTTTTAGAATAACTCGTTTTAAGTGACTCTACACCATGCGTGCATACCACACGACACACCCCTCTCTTCTCGACGCGACGTCTGGCGGTCATATACTATTACATCCCTCATCTTTAATGAAAATAAACAATTCCTGCGTGAGTGCGCATGCTTCATAGGCATGCACTAGAAATATATATATATGTAACTCAAAATCCGCAGGGTACTTCAGTGCTTATCATATACATTACAAATTAAACCTCACTGGTGCCTTAACTGCTCGGCCTGATCTCGTGACATACGTGTTGTCACTATGTGAGCTGTTAAGTGTAGCGTGTGGTACACTGGTAACACTAACAGGTGTCTCTATCTTGTTATGTCCGTCAGTTTCTAGTTCCCGCTGAAAATTGAAATTTTCGCATGTCTGTCTAATCTGTCTCCTGTTCCGTCTATACCGTGCACCCGTCTCAGCTTCGACAACATACGAACGAGGTAGTTCTGTGCACTCGTTTTTAACTATAGCAGGTTCCCATCTCTTTGTCACTAGGTGCTGTATCCTAGCACTTTGTCCAGCTTGTAGTTCAGGTAGTGGTTTTGTATGAGCATCAAACCGAGCCTGTGATCTATCTTGCTTGTCTCTCATTCCTTCCTGTACTTCTTCGTCCTTCGCAGTCATGTTAACCATAGGTAAGTTCGACTGTATCTTACGGTTGAATAACAGCTCGGCTGGTGATGGTATTCTTGCACTCAGTGGCATAGTACGAATACACAGCAATGCTAGCGCGGGATCCTGTCCAGATTCTCGAGCTTTTTCTAGCGTCTTCTTTATAACACCAACATATCTTTCCGCCTTTCCATTCGCCTGGGGATAATTTGGGCTGCTGGTTACATGCTTGAACCCGTCCGTATTCTTCTGCGAATTTCGTAAATTCACTGCTGCTATACTGCGGCCCGTTGTCAGATATGATTGTCTCTGAGATTCCATACTCTGCTAGGATTCCTCTCAAGCTTTGAATCACACCTGCTGATGTTACGGTTGATAGCTTCCTCACAATTGGGAATGTGCTATAGTAGTCTACCACAATGAGGTAATGCGCCTGATTCCACACGAATAAGTCCGAACCAATCATTTGCCATGGTCTCTGTGCTTCTATGTGTATCATTGGCGCCGGTGCCTGTGATGTCTGGTTTCTTTGACACGCAGTGCACTCCTTGACCATCTTTTCGATGTCAGCATTAATTCCACACCAGAAAACCGTTGCTCTGCATGGCTCTCAGTCGACACTTCTCAACCCCTTGATGTCCTGCGTGTATCTTCTTCATCACATCCTCCTGCATCTTCTTAGAGACGATAACTCTGTCTCCTTTAACAAGAATGCCGTTATAGATGCTAATTTCATCTCGATAGTTCCAACACTCGTGTGTTGCCTTTGGACAGTTCTTCCGTAGATCTGGCCAACCTGTCATAACTATCTCCTTGAGAGTTGTAAGGACAGCGTCTTCACTGGTCATCTGCTTGATTTGCTGCAACCGTATCTGTACTATGTTTACTATCTCATGCACTATAACATCCATGTCAGGGATTGCTCTCCCTGCGATCGGAACTCTCGATAATGCATCAGCAATTGGTATGTTTTTTCCTGGTACATACGTAACCTTGAAATCATACCTCTGCACACGTAATAGTATACACATTAGTCTTGATGGTGCACTTGACAGGCTCTTGTTTGCAATACTCTGCAATGGCTTGTGATCGGATTCTACCATCACGTATCTACCATATATGTAGTAGTGAAAACGCTCCAGTCCAAACACTACAGCGAGCATTTCTCTTTCAATGTTAGCATAGTTGCTTTCCGTTTCTGTCAAGCTTTTACTAGCATATGCAACTGGTCGTCCGCCCTGCAGTAGTGCAGCTCGATCCATCTCCCCGTTTGCTGGCATCTGTCTGTACAGTCACCGGCTTCGATGGGTCGAAATATGCTAGCACCTTTGATGAGCTAATGGCCATCTTCAACTGATTGAGTGCTGCCTGGTGTTCATGGCTCCAGAAGAAATCCACATCCTTTTTCGTAAGGTCTCTGAGCAGTGCCGTGATCGTGGCTAACTTCGGCGTGTACTTCCCAGGTAGTTTGCTAAACCAAGTATAGATTGTAGCTCGCTAGCAGATTGCGGCAATGGCATATCTGTTACAACAGCTATCTTGTCAGGGTCTGGCTCTAGACCTTTGTGAGTGAGATAGTTGCCAAAGAACTGAATCCTTTGCTTCTTTATCACACACTTACTTGGATTCAACTTTAGCCCTACTTCCCGTGTTCGCTCTAGAACCTTGACGAGATTCGCATTGTGCTCGGCATCGTTGGCACCAAATACCACTATGTCATCAGCAATGCCTACTACACCCGATATGTTCTCAAAGGTCTAGTAAACTTTCTTCTGAAAAACGTCTTGGGCTGAGACAATACCGAATGGTAATCTTTTGAAACAATATCGCCCAAAAGGTGTGTTGAACGTTGTGAGCAATTTTGATTCGCCGGTAAGTTTTACATTCCAATAACCCGATCGGGTATCTAAGATGCTAAACACCTTAGCGCCTGTAAGCTTCGGTAATACATCGTCCAAGGTTGGTGTGTAATGATGCTCTCTCTTGATCGCCTTGTTGAGTTGCCGCGGGTCAAGACAAATCATCAAATCACCGTTCGGTTTCGTGACACACACTAGACCATTCACCCAGTCTGTTGGTACATCTACCACTTCGATAATGTCTAGGTCTAAAATGCGCTGTAACTCCTGCTTAAGCGGTTGTTTCAACGATTCTGGAACACGTTGCGGTGGCTGTATGACTGGTTCTGCATCCTTACGTACCCAAATGTGGTATTCTTCGTCTTTGCCGTTAGCCAACTGCTGCTATTGTGACGTGACGTAAGACTTCGTTTCTATCTTCTGACACCATGTTATGTTTGATGCTCACCCATGTGCAAAGTCAACGCAGATATCTTTTTAGAATAACTCGTTTTAATTGATTCCACCCTATGCGTGCATACCACGCGACACACCCCTCTCTTCTCGACGCGACGTCCGTCGGTCATATACGATAACATAACGATACAGCCTTAACGATACAATACGTGTTGTAATACTTTCAAGAGACTACATAGCACACTATACACTCACCCGCGACTCTACTAATTGTGTAAACCCTTATAATAAATCAGCATCTTGAAGTGCTTAGTAAACAGCTGCTATGGAATTGCAGATTTGGTTATGTTTCTTTTGTTACCTCCGCCAGGGGCTTGGCAGGGGTTATGTTTTCACCGGCGTGTGTTTGAGTGTTGGTTTGTGTACGTGTTTGTGGGTTTGTGGGTTTGTTAACATGCACGTTTCAGTTCACTTCCGCTAGGTGCGCTGGCTGTAGACTTACAAACACGCAACCACAGGCTAAGGGGCTAGCACAGTCCTCCCCCACCTGCACGCTCGCACTAATCCGGATCCAATTAATTATTTAATTAATTAATTAATTAATTAATTTTTCCACTTAATTAATTAATTAATTAATAAAAAATTTCACATTGAGAGAATTCAGCAGCCTTGGCGGAGGTCTGTGCTCTCCGAGTGCTCTAGTTTCTTATGCTACTAAACGATTTTATTCAGTAGAATATTGGTCAGTGTATTGTGAATGGTCAAACGTATTGAAATTATATTACGTGTATTGTCAAGGTAATTGTATCGTGATACATCGATATATCGATAAATCGTACCACCCGAACAAAGCAGGGGCCGGTTTCACGAAGCGTAATTAAGTCCTTAATCATGATTAAATCACTAATCATGATTAACTTCTCGTACTTAAATTGAAGTGACTGTTTCACGAAGTGTAATTAACTTTAACTTGAATACTCTCCATGCAACGTTGTGCACGGGTATTGCTCTAGTGAAGATTAAACATTTATTGGCGAATGAATCGAATCAATCACTTGTTTTATTTATAGAGGAGATATATCTCTATGCTCAAGCCAAAAAATTTCATGAAATTTCCAGCACCTAATTATGTTACCACACAAATTTTGAATTGTAAAAATGGTATTATGGATATTTCTCAACTACCAGAAAGAGTGAGGATACAAAATTTTTGCCACATGTTAAGCACAATATGGACCAAAATAGCGCGTCAGGATTTTTCTTTAATTTTCATAATTACCGAGAAAACTCGAAAAAAACTGCTTAAAAATCAAGTTGTGTGTTAAAATAGAAAATTTTAGCGAATAAAGAGGCATAACTAATAAAGTACGGCACTTAATAACAATCCCTGACGCGCTTCTTTACCACAATATGTTACCATTAAAACGAGTGTAAAATTAAATGAATCCGAGTTGTAATCACAGAGAAATATCCATTTATACATCGGCTACTTTGTCAGAAATCGAAACGGAGAAATGAGAGTTTTTCTATTTTTCACAATGAGTGACCGCCTGTGTGCAAAATGGGTGAACGTATGTGATATATCTATTGTTAGTACTTACTGCGACATATTCATGACTAACTGACACCACTAAATTAGTAAAATGTTCCATGCACCTTGAGAAATTCTGAGAAATTACGAGGTGACCAACGCAATTCCATGCAAATGGCGCAAACCCGCCCATTGCCTGACGTCACTGTCAACAAACGCGCGCCTTATGTAAGGTGCGTTGCGAGGTGTGAGAACTATTTTAGGCTCCTGTGGGATACTTATTGGATCAGGGTAGTAGTACAGCTGTAGCAGGGTTGATGTTGTCAGGAGTAGATAATAGGGAATTCCCTATTATCTACTCCTGATATTGATGGATACTGGCTCAGTGAATATCGTGAAAATGCTGGTTGTATCATGTGTCTGACGTCATAATGACGTCAGCCGCGGCTCACTACACATGTACGGGGGCAAGCAAAAACGCTCTGACAGTTCACATGTACCGTTATATGGAGAAATGAGCATATACACAGGTGGCACATAGTGTTAGCCATCGAATAAAGTTGAAAACGAAAAATCGATAAAATTTCATGCACAACGTGGAGAGTATCCTTAATCATGATTAAGTTAATCACAATATTTAATTCTACTCATGAGCATGATTAACTCCACTAATCATGATTAGTTGCTAGTACTAGTAATAATATATTAAGTAGGCTGCAGATTTTACAATTGGAAATTTTACTTCCATTTTTTCCCAAGGAAATTTAAATTATCTAAGATTAGCTGTACAAATTTAGACATTATAATTGTAAATTAATTCCTTTTAATGTACCGAATTTGCAGGAACTTTTGGCGTTGTCCACCATTTTGAATACAGTGTAATTCATGTTTAAGTCGGCTATAATTAAGTGATTAGTTAAATATGTACTTAAATCGCTTCGTGAAACAGATTTTTAAGTATGATTAACTAATCATAATTACAGGAGGGTAAGTATGATTAGTAATTTAATCATAATTAAAGTTAATCACGCTTCCTACGTGAAACCGGCCCCAGGATTGTAACTCAAATCCCACAGCCAGGTAGTGGAAAATACTTATTTTTTTAATCATATTTATTAACAAATTATTTCATTAAATCTTGGTAAAACTGAAATACGATGGAAAAATGAAGCAAATTCTATGATCAGTTATTTTTCGATTACTGAGAGAGTTCAAAAGAAGTAGCTCGATTGGCTGAGCCCACAATTTGTTTAACTTGCATCCTAAGCTGGCCTGTCAGAAGAGAGTTTGAGAGTCAAATGGTCACAAGTGTGCAGTAAAAGCGAAATTGTTCTGCTAGCGTCCCTACCTGTCGCTAGAGCACCAAATGACTTTAAAGCTAAAGCACACAGTATTACACAATCAAGGGAATTCAGCTTACCATCTCTGGCACTCAACACATCAGCAACACCAATATCCATGTTCAGTAGCAGCATGCACCGGATGGGTCGGTATGCCTTCACCATTTCGTCTTGTTTTCCCTAGAGTATGGAAGATGCTCACAAGTTACAATTAACAATATGAAACAAGGAAACTATTGTACATTGCACCTTTCCCATCATTCTTTGTGCTGAGTGTCAACATGCTATCACAGCTTTCGCTGTTTACTTTTGTTTATTAGCGTGAAGATGAGTGAAATTTTGAAGGTTGATCGATGATAACCGGCTTCCAGAAATAAATGTCTACACAAGGAGGGATATGAAGACAAAGATATCCGTCTAAAGACAAGGTCTGCCACTCAACTGTTCAGTAGCCCAATATAATATATAATCTGCATTGTTGATGTATGCTAGAATAACTGACAGATTGTGTCGTTTATAAGCATATAACCTTACGGCAACATTCACATTAGGTAGTCCAATTTCACTACTAGTTACTATAATTAAAAGCACAATTGAAAATCATCAGCATTTAGAACCCCCACCCCCACACCATCCAGCATTGATTACATTTAGAATTGCAACTGCCTATATGCGGGTGTAACAAAGGTTTCTGTCTAACAGATTTGTGCATGCATGCTAGAGGCCATGCGCGACACCTATATCTTTGCTACTCCTACTAGTATTGACACGTGATCACAGTATTGTTTATAGGCTTGTTGCCTGGATAAAATTCAGAGAGAATTTTTTATTCAGTGGTTGATAAACAATAGTCTGGTTTGTACGGCAATCAGCAGAAAAATTGGACAGACTAAAATAAATTTGGCAGTAAAGTTATGAACACTATTATTAAGAACGAACTATATTAAGTTATACTTATAATCATAACAATGTGTCAGTTAATCAATTAACCATCAACAGTGCAGATAAGGTCATCAGATTTATTATGGGTTTATTTAATTATGCCTACAACATATAAACCTGTAGATGTATTGCAAGAGATGAAGATCCTGTTGTACCTTCATACGCTGAGACCAGTTGAAAGATTGAATGGTCACATCTAATCGTTTTATCAACATCTGTCTTCGGATCGTGTACTCCTTTTCCAATTCTTGACCGATCGCTTCAATATTCTGCCACTGTATGTCACTAAGCAAACCCTTGAGGATAGGTTTTCCAAGAACATGAGCTGGGACATTCTTTGTGAGGTCTTTAATCTGCCAGTACATGAAAATATGGTAGATGCCCAGCACAATACATACTACGTGTACTTATTGCATCTCATCAGTGATTAGTAGATAAATATGAAAGCGCCCTCCCTCCCACCCTTCCGCTCTCTCAACCTCTCTCTCCCTCTCTCTCACCTTCTCCCACCTCTCTCTATCGCCGTATTTCATTTTTGGTTTCACACAACAAAGCACTAACTACACCAGAGGGTACCAACTACAACATACCTTGGGCTCAATCTTACTGAACAGCTGCAGTGGCGTTATAGTTGGTGGAGGTTTTGCGAAACTCAGCAAGATAAGCATTGACTTCAAATCCTTTGCTGGTCCACTCTCTCGCTGAAACGTAACAGGTTATGCAAACGTACGTAAATACAGTGTCATGTAAATTACAGTGGCATTACCTCTACGTGACATTTATGATTTTCTTGTTGGCATTGATTGTTATAATTTCCCTGTCCATCGATGGCAAATAGTGAGGCAAACCTACCTCGCAGCCCACACAACTATGCCTGTTCGCCTTTAATTACAGTTGCGATAATATAAGGAATCATGTGTCATTCGCACCAAATGGCAGGAGTGAAAAGCAGTAATAACTCATTGATTTCAACAATGGCACTTGCCCAGCTTCTGTTCCTGACTACCATTAGATCTTAGTAGAACCATTGAATTGAATGTCATACAATACAAGGATCATGAATTTCGTATCATGATTGAAGCTTCGCTATTAGACATTATACCAGGAACCAAAAACACTTATATTAAACACAAGTGCAGGGCGTCAAGTGACAAGTGACGCTCAAAAAATAGGAAAATAGGAATTTCAGATGTGAAACAATAGGAAAAAAATAGGAATTTTGGTGAGAAAATATATGTTAAATAGGAATATTTTTTGCGTCAGATGGCCTCCCAACACCCCTACAGCCATCCCGATCCACCACAAATGGTTTTATTAATATACATATTTGGAGTTACATCACATGCGAACAATATGTTGAGGTTTTAATGAGAAATGCATGTTAAAATTGATAAGCAGTTTATACATGCATAAGCACCCATACATGTAGACTACTCCAAAATAGTTGTGATAATGATTAAAAATAAAGACTAGACATGCACATGATATAAGATTATTCAGAAATTGTGCAATAAATTTTTACTATAAAGCACAAATACGTTAAATAGGAATATGTGTTCATTAGATGGCCTGATGAAATAAAATCTGTGAAAGTAAAGAGTATATTACGTTAATTTAAAGTAAGGGGTGGGGTCTTGGGGTCGTCCCCCAGGAAATTTTTGAAAATTGGGTCACCTGAAATGTAAATTCCTGCATTCTGAGAAGGATACATCCAATTCTGGATTCAGAAAAATAAAAAGCCCTAAAAAATAGGAAAAAATAGGAATTTGTCCAGAAAATAGGAGAAAATAGGAATTGCCAAGAAAATAGGAAACAAGTGCCGCAGAGCGACAGCGCTCAACTGACGTTTACTGTAACCAGGTATTCTTCTGATAAACTCACTGGCCGAATCAAGTGCGCCCTCCTGCCACCGCGTTCGCGCTCAGAGCATATATCTAGGATACTACTAATACAGATCTAAAATCTATGATAGGCTATACCTACTGGTAGTACAGTAGTAAAGATACAGCTGTGTAACTTTAATGACTTCGCTATATTAACATGGATATGCGTCGAGCGCGAGCGTAGTGGTAGTGGTGGGGGAGGGTGGGGGGAGGGGAGAGGGGGTGGGGGAAG